TGAGTGACATACCGGTTCTTGCAGGTGTACGCGATGGACTGCGAAATGGTCTATGGCGTTTGGGGACCGGAATTGGCCCGTGTATCAGTCGTAGACATGGACAACAAATTGGTACTCGATCTCATTGTAAAACCTCATAACACGGTTATCGACTACAACACGCGGTTCTCTGGACTGACCGCTAATCAAGTGGAGACTTCCGAAGTGGACCTGTTTGAAGTTAGTCAGCATGGAACTTGTGTAGAGTGGAATCGTAATTATTGATTTTTTTAGGCCCAAAATCGCCTTTTCGAATTAGTAAATGAACGAAGTATTCTCATTGGTCATAGTCTTGAGTCGGATCTGAAAGCAATGCGATTGAGACATGAACGAGTAGTCGACACTGCTGTAGTTTTCGAACACAGGTATGTCATTGCTATGAGTATCTTGGCCTGAATATTTGTTGAGAGCTGGGGTCTGCTCCGGTGTAAGGCAAGGAAGTTGCCCTAGTTTGCAATGTTTTCGGGGTAGTAAGTCCAACCGGTTTACATCACTTAAGGCTAACTTTGTCCGTTGGCTTGAACCAGTTATATGCAAAATGTTGAAGAGCACAAGGACTTTTACACTGAATCTTAGATCTTTTGCTGTCCATCTGAATTTTTACATAGTTACAACAAACAGCCTGGTTAAATTGTTCTTTCAGCAGATGCCATTTGTTTTTCCAGTTGCTCTGAATTTACTTTTCCATGTAAAAACGGTCGTCAGAACAGGCAAAAAAGCCTTCCAACGAACAGAACTGAATATACTCTCAAAAGAGATATCTAGAGAAGCAGGAGTGTTATAAGTCATTTATAAAATCGTGACGAAGGATTTGACTGCGGTCTTTGCGCCCTTGGGAGTAAAAGAAACAAAAAGGCATTATCGTAACATCAGCTCAGTCACTTCCAGTGTTCAAATACTATCATATATAAGCAAATCTATTCGAAAAGAGATAAAAGCCAAGAAAATTCGATAGCCGGTTATGCGGGCGGTCGCGCATCGTCACGATTTTTGAATGCCCTATACTTTGTATGGTGCATATTCTTAGAATATGACTGCATGTCTGCTGCTCGATAGCAAAATCAGTTTTTTGGAATTAGTTTTGAAAAATTATTTAATTAGTTTGCTAATTAGTTTTTTATCGCTCTATATGCCTTACTTTTTTCTCTAAATGCAGCATTCAACACTACCCGGGCAACCCCGTCTCTCATTTTCAACCACTCGCTTACCTCTCGTATATCACAGTAGTCAATTGTTACTTTTTAGGCAAGGATTCCCCTTCAAG